GTGGGGGGGCGGGGGGGCAGGGGGCTGGGTTAGTGAGGCGGGGGTAGGGGGCTGGGTTAGTGAGGGGGGGGCGGGGAGGGGGGGCTGGTGGTCTGTGACATACAGGAGGTCGGACCAGCTGAGCTGCTGGTTCCTTCTGCCCTGAAGCTCATGATAGAGCCGTTCCAGGCGCCGGTCCAGGGGCCGGTCCAGGGGCCGGTCCAGGGGTCGGTCCAGGGGCCGCTCCAGGGGCTGCCCCGGGATGTGGGGTGATGAGTCCCCCAGGCGGGATGAGCCGTTCCCGTGCTGGGCCCAGCCAGTCCCCGAGCCAGGCGCTGAGCGGTTGACTGTCAGAGTCGGTCAATGAGCCTCACAGGAGAACCAGCAGCTCCGTCTGCCCCACGTCACTCCGTGCCTTGGACCTGTCCCCTGCCTGAGCGCGGGACGAACGCCACAGCCGCAGGCGTCAGCTCTCTCCAGCCCTCCCTCGCTCCAGCCTGGCTCCCAGCCCTGCATGTGCCTTGTTCCGACCTCACCCTCCACTCCTGATTCCAGCTCTGAGCGCTGGCTCTGGTTCCCGGCCCGACTGTCACTGCACCAACCACTGGGCCAGACGCTCCCCAGCTCGGTGTCTGACACACGGGCATCGCTAGGGTGACCAGATGTCCTGATTTTATAAGGGCAGTGCTGATATTTGGGGCTTTTTCTTCTATAGGCTCCTATTATCCCCCACCCCCGTCCTGATTTTTCATAATTTCTCTCTGGTCATCCTAGTCACAGCAGACAGACGGGTGCTGGACACAGTAGTGTAGCTGAGGGTAACCATTCTCATTTGGGGAACATAGTTTGGGTTCGTTTACCCCGGTCTATTTTACCAGTACACCACTGGCTAGATCGATGGATAGATATTCCAATACACACAACCTGTCTGAGCACCTACCTCTCCATCCCTGCCCACATCCCCCTTGGTGTAGATAAATCTCTGATAATTTTCATATGTCTTTACATTGTGCCTCTTCATATAACCTTGTGGTGGGTCTACCCACGTGTGACCTCTGTTTTCATGGGACTTTGTATCAAAGCCTCATTTAGAAACTTTGCATTGCCCTTGGTATAATATTATAGCCCCTAAGGATAGAATAAGATAGAAGAAAAATTTCTTTTTGCTAGCATCAGAGGGGTAGCCGTGTTAGTCTGAATCTGTAAAAAGGAACAGAGGGTCCTGTGGCACCTTTGAGATTAACAGAAGTATTGGGAGCATAAGCTTTCGTGGGTAAGAACCTCACTTCTTCAGATGCAAGTAATGGAAATCTCCAGAGGCAGGTATAAATCAGTGTGGAGATAACGAGGTTAGTTCAATCAGGGAGGGTGAGGTGCTCTGCTAGCAGTGGAGGTGTGAACACAAAGGGAGGAGAAACTGTTTCTGTAGTTGGATAGCCATTCACAGTCTTTGTTTAATCCTGATCTGATGGTGTCAAATTTGCAAATGAACTGGAGCTCAGCAGTTTCTCTTTGGAGGCTGGTCCTGAAGTTTTTTTGCTGTAAGATGGCAACCTTAACATCTGCTATTGTGTGGCCAGGGAGGTTGAAGTGTTCTCCTACAGGTTTTTGTATATTGCCATTCCTGATATCTGACTTGTGTCCATTTATCCTCTTGCGTAGAGACTGTCCAGTTTGGCCAATGTACATAGCAGAGGGGCATTGCTGGCATATGATGGCATATATAATATTGGTGGACATGCAGGTGAATGAAGCCTCCTGCTACAAGACAGGCCCAGAAGAGAAACCAACAGAACT